CCCCTAAAAGGTGGCCGCAACCTGCCCGCGAAGCGGCCACCGCGAGGCCCCCGAGCCCTGCCGCCGTGCTCCTCACCTTATCCGATTTCCTCTTCTTGGCTAGGGGAAGAGAGAGAAGGGGGTGATTTTTACTTCATTGGGTTCATTTAACCCCAAATGTTGCAGCACGAGCAGCCAGATCCACCCTCCAATTACAGGGGGTGTTTCTGTCTGCACAGACACTAGGAGAGAGGGGACCGGGGACACCCAAGCTCCGCACTCAGCTGCTTTAACCCCCGTATAAAGGCACGGAGACTTGGCTAGGGGAAGAGAGAGAAGGGGGTGATTTTTACTTCATTGGGTTCATTTAACCCCAAATGTTGCAGCACGAGCAGCCAGATCCACCCTCCAATTACAGGGGGTGTTTCTGTCTGCACAGACACTAGGAGAGAGGGGACCGGGGACACCCAAGCTCCGCACTCAGCTGCTTTAACCCCCGTATAAAGGCACGGAGAAGGGGGGGGGGGGGCCACAGGGAACCACCAGCCAGGACACGTCCTCCACCCTTTGCACAGGGTGGAAGAGGGAGGGAACCTCTCTTTTCCCCAGCCCCCTCGTGCGAGAAGGTACAGGGCGACCAGGGAGCCCCCAGCGAGGCTGGTGCCCCCACCACCCCTACGTGCCCCCACCTTTCTTCTCAGAGCCGTAGGACCAGTCGTTGTCATTTATATCATCGTTGTCCTCCTGGTCGCTCTCTGACTTGTTCATGTTGTTGCTGCTCGCGATCCTGTATGCAGAGGGGAGAAATGGGTGTCAGGGCCCTGGCACCCCCACCCAGGATCGTCCCTGCACCGCCGGGAGCTCTGCCATGCCCACCTCAAAACCACCCCTAGGGGTCCCAGGTCCAACCCAGCCCCAGATACAACATGGGGGATCCTGGCCAAGGGAAGGGGGACGAAGGAGCTGCAACTCCGGGGTTTAGAGACAGGGACACACAACCCCATAATCAAAAGTGAGAGCAGGGGGGAGCCCAGATGCCTAGTTTCCGCTCCAAGCTCAATCAAGGACGAGCTGAGCTGAGTCTACCTGGGTCCTCTCCTCCCTGTCCTCTGCAGAAAGACCTGACACAGACCCACCACCCAGCTCTGAGCCAGGTTCACCCACTCCGGCCTCAGTTTCCCCACGCAGGGGGAGGCCGAGGGAGCCCAGGGACCAGCGGCCGGGGCTCACCTCCGGTTGGCAATGCGGCTGCTGTTGCGGCCCATGCCCAGGCACTTCTCCAGGTGGGGGGCGAAGCGGGACGCAGCGATGCTGCGGCTGCAGTTGGGGCACACACACTCCTTGTTCTTCCACTGGTTGTAGACCTGCCCAAAGATGTCCACGCCGGGCTGGTCCACGATTTCTGGGGGAGGCACACGCGTCAGCCCGGCCCAGGGGAGCCACATGCTTCCTGACCCATCCCCGCGTGGAGGGAACTGATGGAAACCCATCACTCTGGGTGCTGCCCGTACAGGTGATTCCCCAGTCTCCCCCTTTGAGAGCCCCATCTCCAGCCCAGATCTCCATGGTTCAACCTCCCTGCCACCAACCGACCTCTCTGGTCTCTGGGGTTTGTCACACAAACCCCCATGCAAGTTTATGATGAAGCTCCACCTCTCCTGCGAGGGAAACTCTGGCTATAACCCCAGCTCCTGGGCAGTGGCGTTTTGCCTGGGGGGTAAAGGGACCTTCTGGATTTCTTTGGCTCAAGCCAGAGAGACTCCTGACTTCTCTCCCTAGGGACGGCAGGCTCCTTGGGGAGGAGAGGCCAGGGCAGATGTAGCGCTCTCCTGCAAGTGCAGCACAGCCAGGAAGGTCTCTTTTATCCACCCCTTCCCCAAGTAAATGAGGCTTCCCCAGGCCAGGGCAAAACACCTGGACTCGGGGCAGCAACACCAGCGTTTCCAGGGCTCGATTCACCCCATGCGTTTCCAAAACGGATGCCTGCGTAGAGGCAGAACCACCATGCTGCACATTGAAGTTCTTCTGCATCATTTCTCCCTCGTGCCAAAGTCCTCACCACCAGCAAAAACCAATCCCTCTAACGGCCTCTCCACGGCATTTCTGGCAGCACCAGCCCTTTCTGGCTGTGACTGGAAATGGGATGTTCTCCGTCCCACTCACCTTGGGGAACCCATCCCCAGGAACCTCCCGGGCACTCACCAAAGTCCTTCATGCTGTCCGGGTCCGTGTCGTCCAGGAAGAAGTAGCCACACTTGACCGCCCGGTGGACTTCGAAGCAGAGGCCCAGGCAGGCATCTTCGACCAGGTCCGTGTAGATCTCATGCGCGATGGCCTGGGGCAGGAGGGGACGCGGAGCCGTAAGAGCCGAGACAGGGAGGCTGGGCTAGGCCCTGAGGGGGCCACAGATTGCTTGGCCCCTGAGGCTCAGCACCAGTCTGGATCAGAGCCAGAAAAAAGTGGGAGTGACCCCAGCTAGCCAGAGCGGACAACCGGAGGCAACATGCTGGGTCTGAGGGCATGACGACTGCTGGGGAAGGAGGGGGAAGGCGGTAGATCTACCCCAGGACCGCTTACCTCCAGTTTGCTGTTATCCAGGCCAGACAAAGACATATCCTCCATTTTCATTTGCAAATGCTCGTGGAGAAGTCACGCTGAATGCACATAGCACAGGACAGGCTGGGATCTCGCTGCACAACGACAGGCAGGGACCGCGTTGGCTGATCCGGCTCTGTCCGGGAGGGCCAGACAAAGACATATCCTCCATTTTCATTTGCAAATGCTCGTGGAGAAGTCACGCTGAATGCACATAGCACAGGACAGGCTGGGATCTCGCTGCACAACGACAGGCAGGGACCGCGTTGGCTGATCCGGCTCTGTCCGGGAGACCCCCTCCGCCCCCCAGCTTCGCAGGGAAACCCACCCCAGGCCATGGGAAGAAG